GTGTAACAAGGCTGTAATATATATATATATATATATATATATATATATATATATATAGTCTCATCTCAAGGCCACCCTCAATATATCAGTCATATATTCAGAACAATTATCAATAAAGATGATGCTTGATAAATTACAGAGGACCATCAGAAATGTGACTTTGTCTTAGCGTGACATGTATACCAGTATATGCATATTTAGGCCTATTTAGGCCTTTGACTGGTCTAAGAAAACAGTTCCATTTTGTCAGTTCAAATGTATTTCGAGTGTGTACTGTATGTGTTTTTCAGTGGGAAGCAAACTATGAATTACGCCCAGGTATGCTAACTCTCATTTTACTCTATTTCTGTCTATGTCTCACCTACACCGTCTCAGATGGCAGACATAATATTGAAACCCTTTTTTTTCACCCACTTGTGTATTCAATGCAAACACACTAACATTTTGAACAGCATTGCATTGCATATTTACAAGTCTGATTTTTCTTTGTTTGGCTCCAAGTACTAATTACATATTTATGTTGATAATTTGCCATGTTCAATTTATATTTTGAAATAAAAATGCAAACGCAACTACATTTTCTTTAAAAACTGGACTGCAAATGCATCTGCCACAATCTTGTTGTTATGCCGTTAGCTGCTTACTGTCTCAAGTTAAAAGAGCCAACTCCAAAGTCTCTATGATATTCTTGTCCCTGATTTTGCTTTGGTCTCTCCTCCAATGTAACTCAATGTAGCAATGTAAGGGATTTTAACACTCATTTTGTTCTTAACACATATAACTTACATGTTGCACGCCAATGTTTTGGGGTTTTGTTCAAATCTGTAACTGACTGTAAGTGAAAGAAATATTAATACGAGACTTAGAAAGCATCAGCAGATCAGAAGATACATTTTGAGAGGTGCAGTCCATAGGCAGTAATGACAGCAGGTGTTTGAAAGTAAATGGAGCGATTCCTTGACTGGCTTTTTCTAGGTTAAAGGTCATAGGTCATAAGGAGTAGTGGTTGGATGAAAGAGTCAGTGGGTTTGTAGCCCATAAACAGAGAAAAACTTTGAACTAGAGAGTTGGTGGGTGATTAGGTGTCCCTTCATCAAGACTCCTGTGTCAACAGGAACTTTGATCGTGTGGGAAAATTCAATGAACGACCTAATTTTTTAACATCAGTAACGTAACACCAAGTGCAGTAAAATAATTGTATTCACTGCATTGAGTAGAACTTCCCTGTTTTGGAAAGGAAAAACGTATAATATATGTATATAATATAATGGCACACCTTTGAACCCACCAATGGTTCCACGAGGGAAATTACAGAGAAAAGATAATGTTCAGCCTATTGGTGCCTTCCAAAATTGCTCAGTTAGCGTTAAATTACTCTGAAGATTGCCCTAAAAGGCCAAGCTGGGTAAAATCAACATACTCAGCCACCTCCGTACACAATCTAAATAGAGCCATTCATTAGCAGAGCTTTTTGGGGGCCTTTTGTTGCTCTCTTTTCAGTCTATTCCCTCACCTCTCCTTCCACCTGACTAACACTTCCTGCGGTGTTTGTCCATTAGAGCTCTGGTAAATAGATGTTCTGTGTCTTTACATTCTGACCAGTGCAAATGTTCTGCCATTAGGGCATATGAGACCTGCTCAAGCAATACAACACAAATTCACAGCTATGAATTTACAATCTGAGGTAATGTCACGTAATGTTTGTGTGTATATATATATATATATATATATATATATGTGTGTGTGTGTGTGTGTGTGTGTAAATAACATCTAATAATAATAATAATAATGCCCACAATATATATTACAATATACACAACGATACAATTGGTTATATTTTGTCCCTTTAAATGAGGTATATTCACAAAGTTTAGTTTACTTTGTTTTGTTTTGTTGTTTTGGTTTGGTTTACAACTTTGTTTATCAAACACACAATGTGGAGAACGTGTAGCCTTTAACCCCCCTCACTGAACCAATTCAGACACTGTGACTGAGTCTTGTGGATGTGTAATACGTGAGCACTGTTATCTCCCTGTCAAGAACAAATCCTCCTTTGATGAGGTTTACGTGGACAGACATGTTCAAAGTTGGGGGTCTTCTTCTTTGTTTGTTTCTCTGTGGTGTTTTGTAATCATTTAAATATCAAACAACACCAGACTGAACTCTGTACAGGGTATGTTATCCTCTCTGGGGTTGAATGATGAATAAGTTAATGATAACAAGATACAACTGATTTGCCAAGTTGCTCAAATACCATTCCATGTCAAGAAGATGAAATCAGATATACTGTCACACAAGTGGCATTTTGTTTTGATCGTTCAGGTAGTACAACTCTATTCTATTGTTCTTTTGCAAACGTGTCTTCAAATAAATGTGCTGCTGATATGTCCTTAAACCTGCAAGAACAACTGAAAGAGTTTATGTTGCACAGTCCTGCACCAAAAAACTAACCAAAGGTCACGCAGTCCATGTTAAAAAAATACAGTGTTAAGATCCAAGTTTACACACAGTTTATGTATTCCACTGTCCTGTATTCCTTCCTGAAACAATCGTGCATGTGCATACTTACATTTTCACTTTCACTCACACACAGACAAAAAATAAATAAATGTTGGACCGATATTAAAATAGTGTCTGTTAAGCTGATAAGCCAATAATTAGTTGTATGTTGTGGCCAATAAACGATAAATGGATGATATTAAAATTCCATTAAATTTTGTATAATAAATTAAAATACTAATAACTAAAATTAGTCATTTTAAATGTTACAAAGGAAATGTAGGCATCACAAAATTACTGTATAATGTGCAGCATAAAAGTGGATTTTCATTTAGAAATTTGATTTAAATATTACATGTAAGTCTCATTAAATTATTAGTGTTTTTAAAGATTAACTAAAAGTGATCATTATATGAGGGTAAAGGTAATATAAATATAAAAATAGAGAAAACACAAGCAATTAAATATCCAAAATTGACCAACATATATCCAGTATCAACCAATATTGGCCAATATCTGATATAGTACCAATACATATATTGAGCAACCCTGACAAAACTGGCATTTGGATGGTTGCAATTATGACCAAATCCTCATGAATGAAAATTCACTGAAAATACATTAATCTGTCACAGAATACACTTATGTTTAAGAAATGTTCAAGAAATGTTCTGAACACACACACACACACACACACACACTCACTCACTCACTCGCATCATGATACTGACATAGTAGTATTTGAACCACCACGTGCACATGATCTCTGAATACACACACTTCAAAACAAAATGTAACATGTAAAGTATCTAATACATTTCCAGTCATTTATCACACCAGACCACACACAGCTGTACTCACTTGTCCAGTCAAGCCCAGATTCAGTCCAAAGTCAGAGCAGGTGTCAGATGTAAACAAATGAATGGGCCAGAAAGTTCTGCCGCAGTCCTGTGATACAATGAGCAGATCCAGAGAACGGAGAGTTGTGACATGCACCCAGGCGTATACACTATCATGTACACAGTCAGAACTGCTCTTCTGTCACACTGGCTGTGAGACTGGAAGGACTGGATCCTGTTAATCTCTTTCAGTCTCTCTCACTCACTCACTCACTCACTCACTCTCACTTCTGACCTCTCTCTCTCTCTCTCACTAGATGCAGGTTTTCATCCTCTGATGATTACGTAACACTTACACACCCCCGTGCATATGGGCCAACCACAGGCGCTATGTTTCCACTAGCAAAGAGCAGCAGGATTTAAAGACTGAGATGGGAGGGAGGGATGGATGGATGGGGAGGAGGGGGAAGAGAAAAAATGATAAACAAAGTATTGCTGAATGTTGTGCATTATATGAAGGAAATGTAACCAAACATAAGAAAAAGTTGTTAATAATAATATCTTATAATTAGGGGAACACAAAATCAGATTTCCCAGGTCCTGTGATGCGGTGCGACCCATGGATCCAAACAACACTCCAGCTTTTAACCCCTTCTCAAGCACCCTCCATTTTGACAAGGGGACATACAGTAAATGACATATTGTAATGCATTGCAGTATATCTCTTTGTAAATAATTGCAGCCACTGCATCCCAAATTGCATACTCTCTAAGTAGGTATTTCTTTTAATTAAGGAATTACTTTGTGAAAAAAAGTACATGCAATATAAGCTGTGTCTTTCAAAAGCTGAATTTGAAAACCGTTCTTCATTTCCCAGGCCATGAAAGATCCAACTGATGGATCCTTTGCAGCCTGGACTATCCCAAGATTCACTGCACGCTGGTGACAATATGGCTTTTTGGGAGAAAATGGCAGATTACACTTTTACATTTAAGTAAATAAAATAGCTTTTTGGCTGAACATGATTCAGTCATGGACAGTGGTTCCACATGAAGTTATCTGGATATGTTTAATTTTAAATTAGTTTACTCAGTTCCCTTTCAGTCGGTCACTCCCGACGTCACGTCGGATGACCGACGAATTGGGATCTCGCTTAGAGAGACCAATCTACTTCGAGTGTAAACTAAACGAGCCAATGCACATTGGCATGAGATTATTGCATCTTGCTGCCGCTGATCACAGCGTGAGTATAAGTAGGCAGCAGATGCAACGCATATTCAGCTTTTCGCTTCGGAGCCGAGAGATCACATCGTACTGCTCCTGACTACTCTGCTGAGAGAAGAAGACTGAACGAGTTCAGCGCACTCTTTGAGAGCTCTTCGTGTCAGGGAATGAGGGTTACCATACGTAACCGAGACGTTCCCTTTCAGTCGGTCACTCTCGACGTCACGTCGGATGACCGACGAATTGGGATCTCGCTTAGAGGGACCAATCTACTTTGAGTGTAAACTAAACGAGCCAATGCACATTGGCATGCGATTATTGCATCCAGCTGCTGCTGATCACAGCGTGAGTATAAGTAGGCAGCAGATGCAGCGCCTATTCAGCTTTTCGCTTCGGAGCCGAGCGATCACATCGTTCTGCTCCTGACTACTCTACTGAGAGAAGAAGACTGAACGAGTTCAGCGCACTCTTTGAGAGCTCTTCGTGTTGGCGGTACGGCGCTTCAGCGGTGGTGGTTCCCGTGTCGAGTGGGTTGCACACATCAGGCTGCACTACCCCCTGTTTGTGTTGCAGGCGGCCATCTCCCCTGTGTGCCTCAGCACGCTAAAAGAGCTTTTTCTCTAAAAGAGCAATTATGGGTGCGTCTTTTTAAAGACGACGTTGCGTGGCAAACTTGACGTTACGTCTTTGTAAAGATGATGTGGGTCTTGCTATAGACAACGTATCACCCAGGCGTTTCTGGATGCGGTCGTTACCTGGCGCTGGGTGATGGTCATGATAGCTGCCTTACGTGCCTGGGCATCTAGCATGCTGAGGTGGCGTTTGTGGATGAGTCATGTTCTCATTGTGGGAAAATGTTCATCTTGGAGTCGCGGGCCAAGCTCAGTTTCCTCAAAGGGGCGGAGTTCCGTTGCCTCTGCCTCGATCTAGTTCTCGTCATGGCGGCAGTCAGGCGGGGGCTACTTCAGGCACGCGCTACGAGCGACGAAGGTTACGGCGCGGTCTGTGGGTCGTGCGATGTCCACTATGGTGGTCCAGGAGCGCCATTTATGGCTGTGTCTGGTCGACATGCGCGAGACGGACAAGACACGATTCTTGAACGCCCCCAGACCGGCCTTTTCGGCGACACGGTGGAGAACTTTGGCCAGCAGTTCTCCGCTGCCCAAAAGCAGACTGAGGCCACCGCCAAAACAAGAGCAGTGCTCCTGCGGCCTCCAGCAAAGCTGCGCCGTGGAGCCGGTCGCAGGGCAGCCGCCCCGCCCATCCAGGCCCCCGCCAAACCTGGTGGCAAGCGGAAGAGCAAGAGACCCTGAGACGGGCAAACCAGAGGTGGAGGGACCTGCTCTTCAGGAGATGGTAAGCACACCACTCCCTCCCCCGGAGGAGGGCCAGGCGGAGAATCTTTTGTTTTTTTCCGCCACTGACCTCTCGGTCGCTGGTACCCAGATACTAGACAAGAGCAATTTCCTCTATCTCTGGGTCCCCAGAGGGGACGGGGGGTTGTGGACGATCCAGTGTCGTATCACACTCACCCTCCTCTCTCGCCAGTGAGCAGCAGTGGGCGGATCGGGAGGACGCCTTTGGCACCCACGTCCAGACCTCTGGAAACTTCATGTCTGGTCCCAGGATTGTGTATTGTGTAATATGTGTATTGCTTCCGAAACCTCCTTCGGGAAGGTTGGAGCTGCCGCAATGTCCCTGTCCCAAGTGGAAGGGGTACATTTTCCCAGTGTTATCCAGTCTTACTGATTGGGTAGTGCCATAGCAGCAGTAGCTGGTCCTCTTGTGGTAAGCCCTGGCCTATGCCAAAAAGTAGGGGCGCAGGTGGCTTCCACGGGACACTGGTAGGGGCAGTACCTGTGGCCCTTTGTTAGGGATCCCAATTCGTCGGACATCACGTCCCGTCGCCACAGCTCCTGTACCACCGCTGAGCGGCCGGGTCACCGGCTCGACTCCTCAGCGAAAACCTGAATATGCGCTGCATCTGCTGCATCTGCTGCCTACTTATACTCACACTGTAATCAGCGGCAGCTGGATGCAATAATCGCACGCCAATGTGCATTGGCTCGTTTAGTTTACTCTCGAAGTAGATTGGTCTCTCTAAGCAAGATCCCAATTTGTCGGTCATCCGATGTGACGTCTCCGTTCCCTCCTTCAGGGAACGAGGGTTACCATACGTAACCGAGACGTTCACTTTCATCCTACATTAAGACTGGGGCCAGTTACATAAACATAGTCACTATGTTAAGACTGTGTCTTAAGAAGTAGTTTGACCAACTAGTAGCTAGCCAAGAGGTAATGCCTTAACATAATGGCTAAGTTTATGCAACTGACCCCAGGTTTTACCTTCACAGCCTTTAAAGTCCACGTCCTTTGAAGGATGCAGCCTCAGAATTGTCATGTGACCTACCAACATCAACCTCAGTGCCATTCACAAATCCTCTCACCGTGGCCTCATGGGATAGTAAAGTGCCCATCCGATTCACACTTCAGAATCTCACCAGAAGTAATAGGTCATCTGGGTACTTTTTGCCTATACTGTATTATTAATACTGTGAATTCGGACATACTACTCTTTTACATACTGTTTTTTTACATACAGTCTTCTAGTCTGTGATTTTGAATGCAGTCAATAAGTTGCCTTCATTTGAAACCATTTTAGTTGGCAGAGCAATAATAGAAAAAGCAACTAACAATACTGTGTTTAAATGTAAGTTACTCAGTATCAGTTTCTTGTTTATGAACTTTTGTATAAAAGTAATATCACAATCTTGTTGTTGGTCTGAATGTCAGCACATTTGTGATGTAATTTGGCCAGACAGGCACGAGATAACAGAGGCTAAGGCCCTTGTTCTTCCGAAACAGTGGTGAATGGTTATCCTGCTGCACTGATAAGGCAGTGAACTAATCATCATAGAAAAACAGGTTTTACAACACAGTTTATCTCATGCTTGTTGTTCTCATGTAGAGGTGTATAGATTACTCTCCTATCCTTATGTTAACGGTAAAATTTCCCACCTTCATCTCTTTGTTTCAGTTCCAGTCTCACTTATTCTTACACCCTCTCTTATCTTTCTTTCTATTTCTCTCTCTGTGAGTGCATTTGTTGTCAGATGACAGCAGATTTTTTTTCAGAATGTTGTTTTGACTAAAACTTCACACTCCTAAAACAGAAATATATTAATCACACAGTCTCTCTGTCACATGACAGAAAAAAAAACAGAGAAGAAAAATACCAAGGCAGAGAGAAAGAAAGAGATAGAGAGAAAGAAAATAATCATAACAATAACATTAATACTGTAATAGGTTCACACCACTTTCAAGCTGTGTCTGCAGAGTTTTAGCAAAGAGAATTTAATGCATTTGTGAAAAATTACAGTAAGAATGACAACTGCTTTAAGTGTGTCTGTACTAGACAGAAAGCCTCTTATTAGGTATTCATGACCTTTTTACTGCAACAAAACTAAGCTTAAATGTATGACGCTATGGAATAGAAATAGGAATAATGGTATGGACAGAAATATTTGCATAAACATTACTGACTAATAGCCTTCCTGATTGTGTCACCTAAACAATGTTTTCCCTCCAAGAGGATCATGGATTCATGATTATAACATTGGTCCAATGTAAACAGATAACTTTCTATGCTGGAACACGCGACATAAACAATACGCTGGAAATGGCAGAAGATATCTCTTGTTTTCCTTGTTCTTTATTGCAGCTGTTGGCTTTATATTGTTAAAGGAAAACCCGCATAAAGATAAGAGTAATGATAAGGAGGCACTCAAATAATTAAATACTTACATATATGGCATGGTAGATAAATACTCCATCTCCACTTTACATAAAAAAAAAAAAAATACACCAAAGATTAAGCTGTAGAACTTCCACATGGTTTTTGTGGAATCACAAGCCATGTGTGTATCTTATTATACTCAAAGTCTTTTAATCAAGCATAGCCTTTAAATCAGTGGAATCCAATGGAAAAGAGAGAAAAGAATGTCAGTAGGCAATGTGTTCATTTTATTGCAGCACATGTAAACACAGAGTATCATCTGCCAAGGCCAAACTAGCGATGTCAGAGGCATGTCCAAATCAATAGATTGCCACACTGGCCAACAATCCTCTTTAATCTTTAGAGTGTG